TCTCTCAATGCACTGTTGATGTTACGGACAGCTGCCGTGGCTCCAGTGCCGCGGGGCCACTGATAGAAGATGATGACCCGAAGATACTCCTGTGAAACTGACATCGTAATTAAACCCAGGGAAGAGCAGGCGCCCTCACACGCCTCTTGCAGGAAAGCTCCCAGAGTGTCCTACAAGCATAGCATGTTACGTCATGTACGAGCATCGAGAATCAAAAACTGTAAAGCTTTTCAAAAAACACTGACAGGACTTTCCTTCCAACCTAATATCATACGCTCGAACCCTCATTTTAGTTGCCTGCCATTACTGATACCAAGCGATGAATATCCTCAGTATAAATATGGGCCCTCACTAGTATACCCGCTGACGAAGCTGTACCTCAGTGAACACTTCAGGTTACGCGATTTCGATGGTCGCTCTTACAGGTCGGACCGGTCCGAGAGGTCGGATGAGATGTCGTTGCATTCGATGAGAAGACAGGTAATTTGAACACTAGGGTTTTTCATAGGTTTATCTGTATCTTCCTTCTCAGGGCTACGGACACTCAAAAGAGAAAATGCCAGTCAGCGTCGGTATCTGTATCGTGTTCGCTTTCATATCAGGTGAGTTTCCTACTCCTGTGAGCGTCAGCTCATGAGATACTGGTGAGGAGATCCGAGCTGCGGCTACTATTGGGAAGAAATTTGACCCGCGCGATTCTTCAATTAGGCGACAGTTTCATTTTCATGCCAAACCAACCTGATCTGCGTGCGAATGTCGCCCACGTGACGTCACTTTCTATTGGTCTACATTCAAAATCCCTGAGATGTGGTAGGCGTGGCTGCGTACTTCAACTAACGTGGCAGTGGCTGTGCTTTTGGATGAGATATTTTCATTTTGACACAATTGTGGTCATGTCTCTGTCCAACAGTGATGGCAGTTGTCTCAAACTAAAATATCCCATAAATGCCCCATTCTTTGCCACGTTCGTATTCCACGCCTACTCCATCTCAGGGATAAGGAGCGTACATCCTTGTTGTAACATTCAGATCAAGGAACGTCATTCACGTGGCTGGCAGCGGGGTCGTATTAGGCCTACCGAATTTCCTGGGCAACAACTGATCATGGTGCTGTTTTCTATCCCACCTTTCAGAAGTAGAGGAAGTCCACAGTGTATAGAAGCTGTTGCAGAGAAAAATCAAAAAGACCAGTTCAATAAACAAGTGCTTCTTTCAGGTGGAGCAGTGCTGTTCAGTTGGTGGGAAGGCTGGAATCCATTCGACGGTGCTTATTACTGCTTCATCACGCTCAGGTAATTATTTAATTGTGATATTTGCTATTATTTACTGTGGGACTGCCCTACCAGTTGCAACATTATGTATGGAAATGGTTATATGCTTATTGGGGAGAAGGGGGAGGAGGACGAGGACGAGGAGTTGCATCATAGATTCTTTAGAACGCTCTCCGTCTTAGGGGAGGGGGGGGGGTGGGAAAGGGGGAGGAGATGGGGCGTTTCTGCAAATTCGCGAGTCTCTTCCAATTCCTTTAGCTTTGGTAATACTAGGGGGGGGGTGTGAAACTCCTTGCAAAGCTGGGAAACAAGCAACATTCGCGCAGTCGCCTTTAGAGAGCTCTTAAACCTTTGTAACTCTAACGGTGTGAACTCTTTTATGCGTACCAGGGCAGGAGGTTGAAACCAAACTTCGTTTTGTAACTTCCTAGCAGGTCTCCATGTTGATGACTGTCAAATGCTCCCCCTCCCCCCGCAATCTCTGTAACAGCACCTTTTATATTGCACTGAGGCTGTACCTTCGTCGATAGTCAAAGAATTCATTCGAAATTCGGGTATGGGGTTAGGAATTATTACTTTATTTTACCGTCAGTGTAGTGTCCTGTGTTTAAAAAAACAGTAGTGTTTTTCAGCACAATAGGTTTTGGTGATATCGTACCTGGTCAAGCGTTGGACGAAGGGTCACAGGTGATACATAGGCCTCCTTTTATTTTAACTTTTCCTTGTTTTCTTTGCTGTTACATTTACTGCTGTTCTGTTCAGGAGAAATTAGTGGTTTGTGCGCTATACCTCCTGTTCGGTATGGCGCTTATCGCTATGTGTTTCAAACTGATGCAAGACGATGTGGTGCAGAAAGCACGCTGGTTGGGTCAGAAGATCGGCATCTTGGGTAAGTCGCACCCATAGTTCAGTTTATTCATAATTTTTGACAGTTTAAATGTACTGGTTGCGTTGATCCCGCGTCTTATTTTTTACGGGCCTTTTCGAAGGAAGGACGCTCACTTCTGTCTGAAGTACTCGCCACCTTGGCCTTCACGAAACGACTGACGTCGTTCACATCGCTTTATTTTTATGTTGCTTTTGTGTGCTTTCGTGTTTGGTTGTGCGCTTTTTTCACGCTTTTTCTCAGCCCCTCCATTCGAACTCAGTGGCTGCTGCTGTCGTGGAAGGTTTGACCTATTTGTTTTCATGTAAAATCAGCTGAACCATTCTGGTGTAAGACCTTACATCCATGTTGCGGCAAATGTGACGTTGCAATTACCTCACTAGAACTCAGTGACTCAATCGCTTGACACGTGCGCGACACCCGATCCAGGGTCTAATTTATTGGCTATGGAAGTGCTGGTAGTCGAGTCAACTAGCTAGGAAACAAGCTAATGTGTGTCGCCGCAACGCGTATGTAAGCTCCTACATCCGTATATTCCCCGATTTGGTTGCTTATGCTCTATAAAATTGCACTCTTATGTTGCTTATTGCATTTTAATGCTTGTCCGACGACCTTTCAATGAAAGATACAGCCTTGTTCGCTGCGGATGGGCGTGTCAGAGGGTTGGCTCTGGCGCGGCGCCACTACTTTTAGCTCTCTGCACTAGTTGTGGATGCAAGTAAGCGGGAGTAACTGGTTAAAAACCAGCTGGCGCCGCACAAACCCATACCTCCTGTCTCACATTTGCAGCGTACGAAACTGTTAATCAGATATGCCAATACGCAGTTTGTTGGCCGCTTGTGTGACAAGTTGCGATGCAGATGTCTCAGATTCCCGGATTTGCAAAACTGCAACTTTTTCACACTGCTTTTTGCTTTGCTGGACTATCGCAGATCCGCAGGTTCTCACCCCTCCCATGCATCCCGTTCAAAGCATTTGTCATATAGTTCGCATGCTGCTCAAAGCTGCGTTCATACTTCGCGTTTCCAGCAATTCACGGGCGCGACTGCGTCTGAACGCGCCACACTTCTAATCGTTGCCCCGATCCGAAGTTTGGAATAATTTGCACTCTGACCGTGGCTGAATTAGCTTTCACAGCGTTCCAATGGTTAGCGGTCAATAACAGTCAAAATCGCTCCCGAACAGCATGACTGCATGGCTCGAGACGAGTCGCGAAGTATGAACACAATTTGACAACTCGTGTGCCACAGTGCTTGGCTGGCATACTCTGCATAAACTAGCTGGGCTGCCATAACCGCCACACCTTTTCCTTCACACTCTTTTTCGGATTTTGAGCTTCATTTTTCTCGGAATTTCACCTGCAGCAGGTTGACCCGCTCGTAACGAATGTCGCACTCACCACGAAGCACGCACTATATGTGTCGGCCTTAAATTTCGAGGCAATAATCCAATTGTCTCCAGAAATTGTGGTGGTGTTACTATGCAAGACACATCTTCAATGGCTTAACCATCCCTGAAGGCAATTTTCTATGACTTCGGTGTACTTAGGTGTCTTGGCATGTAGGCGCGAGTTGTTTTTTTTGCGCTAAATGTATGTGATTCATGCTGTGGGTAGAACTATTCCTTAGGTAGTCTTCTGGCCTTGTAAAAATTCTGGTCCAATCTTCGAAATCTGTAGATCTATGCGCCACAATGTGGGACAGAAAAGGGTAAATGCTTCAACGTCAGATGCCCTGCTTCATCGCGCATGTGTTTCTCGCCGAGACCTTTGTTGACTGTTATGTACGAAGTGCAAAACTGGCCTACTCTTTCAATACGAATTCCCCAATCTACTTCTTTCTCTTGTCAAGCTTAAAAGATTTTCGAACCTGGCTACCTTGATAATGGTTGTATTTCAGTACGCGAAGAACTCTCGGAATCTGAATCCGAAATTGAAGACGACATGATAGAAGAGGACGATGAGGATATGAGCGAAGAGCGAACAGACCAGGCATGTTTAACAGACTTTTCAGGCTGGTGTGCCGTTTGTCCCTGCTGCGCATCACGCAGAATTGCCGCGTACGAGTCGCGCGAACAAATCGCGCGTCTGTGTCGGTACAGGGCGAGCTGTCTCGTGGTTCTTTCGGAGCGACAACCCTAGGCGGCGTGGAGCAGAGCGCGAACATGAGGCACGCGTGCTAGTCCTGAAAGCGTATCCGGCGCCAGTTCGGCTGTCATGAGTTTAACCATGTGGAATGGAATTTTACATTTGGCATTCAGGGAATCTTGTCTATGATTCGAGGTTTGTCCTCCATCAATAGGAATGGGTCAACTAGGTGACTTCATTCACCGTTGGCGATCTGTAGACGGCATGTGCATCTCCCGAGACTCCTTTCCTTTCGAATCTGGAGTTTTTCTTTTTTGCTCTGAAATTTTGGAGCCTGTTCATGTTTTTTACACTCAATTCGGAAAGACGTTTCTCAAAATCAACTTTGACCCCGCTCAACAAAATACGATCAACTGGTGGGATTCTCTAGGCTGTACCTTGTGCCCACTGCTCACTCCAGAACAACCTTTTCGCCATAATTAGCCCCATAGATTCCGTGTGGGTCAGAACTGATCTTGTGTCATTTTACGTCACAACGTGGTACTGCCATACTTTCGTCACATGCTCCCATAAAGGGTTGTTGTTACCAGTGCTGATTTTGATCATAGAAGTTATCCTTTCCTTGTACGATACTGTTTTAGTTTTAGGACAAGCGTACCATCTCGTCAGGCTCATCGAAACGTGACGATGACATTGCACTTCATCCATCGTCTTCCTACCATCGTAAAAAACCACATCGTCGATGACATTGCCAATGCTTCAGTTGGCAGATTTACCTCCTTACTTCATTCGTGTCCTGCCTCCGAATGACAAGATTTCTTGTGTTTCCGTGAACATTGAACTTCGCTTTCATTACTACTAGTCACCTTTTATTACTGGTAGTACACGTCTTCCAATGCTGAATGTTCCTTGATCTCGAGTCAGACGTTAATGTTTCATATAAGATTTTCCAATCACTCGGGTAAATTTCCGGGAAGTGCTCTGATTACGATGCACAATACGATATTGACTATTATATTTTTTCTTTATTACTTGTCTTAGCACCGTTTCAAAAAATCCTGATTTCTGCTTAAGGTTCAGGTGTTATTTGTGGTGGCCTAATTTGAAATTTTTCGCCTAGAACATTGATGCCAGCTTTGTGCTGGAAGTCAGTAGCCCCGAAAAAAAGTAGCTTCCGAGAAAATTTAACACTATGGATGACACCAATCCGGTTCACATTGCTTTCGATTTGCTCATAGATAATATTTTTAGGCGTGCGTTTCTTTTCCCTTTCGTTTATAGATAACATAGATTTGCTCGGCAAATGTATCGATTGGTCAGGCCGCGGGATGCGCGGATATGCCAGTAGGATGGGGAGAGCTGGGAATTGTGGAAGTGAATGAATTCTCCTCTCCCAGTTTTTGCCTTAGAAGTGTGCAGTTAAGCAGGGTTTGCGCACATTCGCGTCTCGGGGCTCAATGAACGCTACGCCTCCCTCCCCAGGCGCACTCTTTGGTTGCGGGATTTTAGCTCTTTTTTTTTGCGGGGGGGGGGTGCGTACCACCCTACCCCCTTTTATGGTTCCTCATTCGAATCGAGCTGTCGGGGGGGGGGGTAAATAGCACATGTGAAACAGGAAAAGCCGCGAGACAATACGACCCCCCTTCTACCAATTCTCAGATTTTCCCCAACTTCCTGCCACTTTTTCCAAATTTCCGAAAAACTTCCCTACTTTTTTCCCAAAAATGAGGGAGGGGGAGGGGATATGTAGTACGCCATGAAACAGAAACATCACGAATAGTCACACCACCACTCCACAAATCAGAAATGCCAGAACGATCCCCGTACGACCCCCTCTCCTGGCGGCCATATACGACCCTCTCCCCTGGTTGGCGGTCCCCAACCCTGTTTCCCCCTTTTTTTTTCCTTGCGGGATTCCCCAACAACGATGTGCCCTGTCGCTCCCCTCAATTACAGAAAAGCCTTGTTCTTGTGATCGATAACCAGGATCCAGCTAAAGCTGCTTCATACTTTGCGTCAACGTCCATCAGCGACCACCACCGTTTCAAGCGTACGCCACTGTCAGCGACGGGGACAGCATAGATATCGATCTCAAATATCAGCGTCCACCAGCGGCCTAGGAGAGTCATGCGCGTAGTATGACCTAGCCGAACGCAGCGTCTACACGCGTCTACTAGCGTCCACCAGACTTAACGTGCAGCAGCGTCGCGGGCAGCTTTGTTCAAGTTCAAAAAAATGCCCGCAAAAACGCTGCTGCACGCTGGTGGACGCTGGCGTTCGCAAATCAATACCTATATTTCCATGATCCCTCGAGACGCTGTTGGACGCTGGCGGACGCTAGATCAGTATACTACAGATCACTGCATACGTTTCTGGTCGCTGACACTGACGTATACTCAAAACGCTGGTGAACGGTGGCGGTCGCCGCTGACGCAAAGTATGAACTCAGTCAAAGGAACTCATGCCGCATTGCCGCGTGCTTCGAGTGTCAAGTTGGCGCGGTCTAGCCAATTGATACATCATCGTTTCATGGTGAGGTAGAGGAGGCGAATAGCTTAAGCCTCTAACTGGTCCCTTAATCAGTTCAACTTTACTCAAAACTATACTTCATGTGGTGGCAACGGTGCAAAAATGCGGCGTATGTAGAATCAGACGCCGCTCACCGGCACGCTTAACAATAAAGTAACGAATTTTGTTCAGATTGAGTAAAATGCCTTTACGGACATATAGTTACTTTTTCGATCTTCTTCTAAGTCTAACTTTTACTCGAGAGCTTTTTCGCCATTTATTAAGCCTATGCATGTTGTTCTACTTGAAATTCATATTTTATTCGGAGAGCATTTGAATATTGATTGCCAATGATGTTGCCTTGTGAAATCCATTGATATATGACCAATCCTCTAAATGCTCCACTCTCTCGTTATTGTTTTCTTTTATTCGTCCGATAATCGTTAAATATTTGTGTATGATGCGATGTTTCTATGATTTCTAAAATTTTTAAATAAATTCATATGCGGTTGCACGGCGTTTTGTCGATACTGCCTTGAGGCTCCTCAGCCGAGAGTTTCCTTTCTGGCAACTTGTGGACTTTTTTATGTAATGGGATGTGTCTTACATTCTCTTCGTTCCTGTTGATCGTCAAGATGCTCGAGCGGGCGCCAGTAAGGCTGCGTTCATACTTTGCGGCACGTTCACTGGCAGACCCTTCAAATGTCCAGGCGGCGTCAGCGAAAGCTATACTGATTATGGATCTAGGGTCATACGAGGGTGCAGCCCGTCTCACAGCGTTTGAAAGCGTCCAACACCGTACCAGCCTCTGGAGGGGAGAGTAGCTCTTACATTAGCAGTATGGGAGGTACCTCCTAACTGCAGGGCACATCGTTGTTGAGGAATCCCACAGGGGGTCATATTTGGCCTGCCAGTCAGCAGGGGGGAGGTCGTATCTGGACTGAGAAAAATTTACTTTGATAGTTGATTTTTCTCGCCCCGCGGACATTTTAAAGGGGAGGGGGCGTATTTACTTTCTGCTACTTTCCATTCTAATACTCCCCTCCTGACGCTGCTGGACCTCGACCGCTAGTGGACGGTAGAGCACACGAAAAAGCCGGTAGACGCTGGTGGACGCCCGCCGCAAAGTACTGAACATAGCATCCAGACGTTAAAAAGAAAACGTGGAATGATGAAAAAACAACGCCTGACATCAATGGAACATTATAACATGTGATACCCCTGTCTTCTCAATGACATCGAACGGCGATTCAAGTTGTGAACAGAACAACGGAGAGGGTCGATTCATCTGGCTTTGACTCAAAGAATCGAAAATGTCGCAGATAAGTGAGCGATGTGTGATATATCTCGTGAAGAATATCGGGACCTATATACTCTCTCAATCTGCCACTGTACTGTATATACCATTTTCATTCTAAATCGGACACTTTTAGCACCAAAAATCGGGACATTTTCAACCAAATCGGACATCTTTCACATCAAATGCGGGACTATTTTTTGAATTCGATAATCGACTGTTTTGGATCAAATGGCTGGACACAGTCGCCTTTAATAGGTACTACGCACATTTCCGTGTGTTCCGCAAAATTTTGAATTTTTTCTTAACCGAACTTTTGCTTTTTTAGGCTGCAACAAATGCCTTCGCCCACTTTGTAGAAGCCCGCCCACTTTGTAGAAGCCCGCCCACTTTTGAAAAATGACAAAGGTCGGCAGGATAGAGCACTTACCTTCAGGTTAGGTGTCTCCCGTTCACTCGGAACAAAAGTACAGCTCTTGATTTTTGGTGATGGAAGACGCGTAAACCGTGGCCTTAGAGGATCTATCCGCGACCTCGATCAATGTCTTTCAAAAGTGGGCGGGGCCAGAGAGGGCGAGGTCGTAGTGTGTATGTGTATAAATGCGCTATGGCTATTAATATTAGGTTTTGATAAAGTCCTGCGCCCTTTGATTGAGTTTATTTCTAGGCAAAAGCTCCAAAAAGATCATTTTGGATGTTTATCCCTGATTAGTGGAGACTGTCCTCTGGGGTTTCTGCACATGGGTATATCATGACTTTGAGGAAGTTTCAAAGCTTAAAAGTCCCCAGAGATCGAGGTACTTTCGACCTGTCCCATATTATGAGTTCCTGTAGGGGCCACCTCGCCGTTAGTCAATTAAGAAAGGCTGACACCCTACGTTGTCTTGAGGTAAGGATATCGCTTGCACAGATTACGATAAGGTCGGGTTTTGCCCTATCACTCTTCTAGGCTGGAGTTATAACAACGTAGTTGGGGCAATGTATAGGTCGCCCATACGGCACAGGAATGAACGCTGAACGACGCGCCCTTTACTGCAAGGCTTCTTGAGGCGCATGCCGAACGTAAACGAACGGATCAAGTTGTGGTGACTCTCTAGGTCTCTCCACCTGAGACTCCTACTCGACAACTGGCCATGCTTCCCCTCCTCAATGCTCGGTTATCGAAAAAAATTTTGATGTAGGATGCCGTATGGAGTTGGACCCGTTGACAAGTCATACCGAATGACCGTGACTGAGTTTTCTTTTCCTTGTACACAGCGAAAGAACTTTTGTGAGATCTTGTGGTTGGTAGCGAGTGGTGGAGTCCTTGCGTACATCATGCACATGTCCCTCGCAGGAATCTGCTTCATAACAGAAAATGTGTATTTGGCTTAGCTAAAGAAGATGTGCATGGGATAAAGATTTCAGTGTGTTATTGGTGGGACTTCAAGCGGTATCACTGGATACCAGCACCGTTGTAAGGACCACAGTCCACCTTAATCGACTTCAAAATATGGATGACGTCACGCTTGAATTCATTCAGAAATACTCAATTTTTCTCTACTACTCGGCAATGCGAAGACCGCATGTGGGGATCAGGCTACGCCAAAAGATCATGGATTTCGATCAGAGAATGCGACCGTACTCAGTTATTTAACAAGCAGCAGCCTTAATTACACTCCTTTAGTCACTATTGGCATGCCTTCAACAAGCATAACGTTCGAAAAGTCAACGCTCATCGAGAATGAGGTCGACACTCTTCTTTTATCCGCAGTTGCCCGGTAGTTCTAATGAGCATGAAGTGAGAAGGCATGTGCAAAAGAAAGGCCCTAGTTCCCCCCCTAGTCATCAATGGCGGTTACCCGTAGTAGTTGGAGAATGTCCTTTTACTGACTACGTAATTTTAGTTCGAAAATTTGGTCAAGTGTCGCAGGACTTGTTCGGAACAACGGCCTAATATATTCCGTTTTGTGAAGCATGAATGTGAAAGAACAACGACGAAGAAATTAAAAAAACCCCCAAAACTTGCGGTAACCGTAAAAGTGGGCCGAGAGTCAGATCTGTGTCAGTACAATCTCCTCAGTTGAAGTGTGTGTGCGCCAAATCCAATAAATGAAAAAAGTTTCGAAGAACAGAATTCATTCATACATCTTTGAAAAACCGTGACGCGCTGAGAATGGAGAGGGTGTTGGGGCGCGGGCTTGCAGCAGTACTGGTGTGGTCCAGTTACCAACTGCCTATTGTAAGTGTGGGTCCGATTTGGTTTGAAAAGTGTCCGGTTCAGTTTGAAAAGTGTTCGATTTAAAGTGAGGTATAAATACTTCAACGATTTTGGCCAACCGGAGCCACTGCAAATTTTGACCCAGCGATTTAGCAACTACTCTACGCGGCCAAAACTGACCATCAACTCATCAACTGCATCTGAACTGCTGAAAGCCGCTCGTTATTCGGAAGGGAACAGTTTGCTGAACCCACTCGGGCAGTTTTATTGTTAGTAAGCGAGTTTTCTTCCATCTGTTGATCTTTTGTGAGTACATCATGAGGATAAGTGGATGGAGTAATTGGTGCGGAATCTCAAACCCCAAAACGAAGGTCTCGGTATGATTCGCTTGCACGGTCTGCCCTCAGAACCCTCAACACACTCGCTTCTCCCTCGCATTTTCCCCAAATATTCAATGTTATAGTGACAACTCTCTGAAACCTCGAGTCAAATTAGGACCAATGATAGGAGTTCGGCAAAGATGTGTAAGCTTCGTGCCTGTGTATTTCGTAGACACGATAATAAATCATTTTATATAGTTCTAGTTCATCGAGTGCCTAATACTCTGGTCTATTACTTCTCAAGGAGCGAAATAGTGATTTCCAGCAACGATTTGGGGAACCGGTGCTTCACAGTTGGGATCCGACGAAGTAATGGTGACGTTGGTCGTCTGTAGGAAGTAACCGTAGCCAGATCGGAAGAAATCATACTCAGCTCGTACCGCTACGCAGTCGACATCTCTGCATGAGAGCGTCCAGTGTGTCAGTTTAATTGCAAAAGCTGACTGGAAACCTGTTTGGTGCATTTCGCCTTCTGTTGTTGTTATTGGAGGCGGGCGAAATGAATTCACGGGTTGCGACGTCATGGCCAGACTTTGATGATACCGCCCCAACTTGTTCCATTTAGCCCAAACATTCCTCCCAGAACGAGTTACTTTTGCATAGAGGTACTCCTAGTATCTTACCTCTTCAAACGACTGAAGCAAACATGTGGTGTAAGGCAGCGGCTCACATGCAACGTCCAGTGCTCATCGTTTATTGCTCCCATACACCGGTCGAAGTCCTGAAACATCGCTAGGACTGTCTGTGGAGATATGACTACCAGGGATGCCAATATAGAGCAATCATGAATGCATTCTGAGTGCCATGTTGTAGTCAAGGGTAGGAGGTGGTGTAGTGATAAGTGGCGCGCTTACCACTCGTGCGGTCCTGGGTTCAAATCCCGGGTCGACTCCCGCCCAGGCCAACCAAGCCTTCTACCCTCCCAAATTGGTACCAGATTCGTCTGGGAGGATAAGAACACTGACTTGTACATCGGCTGGCCCCCGCAAGTCATTGTATAGGCCACATCGCATTCAATAAGCCACTACGATTCTGAATGGAAGTAGAATGCGTGCCGCATCCCACAAAGGGATTGATCAACGGCGAAGACTTTATCCTTACATATTGTACTCAAAGGCTTGTTACACGCTGATTGTATGGGCGGGGTCAGTTCCATCATTGTGTCTCCCTTATGGGTATGTCTCTTCTTGCTGATACGGCGAGGCGCCTCAAGGAAAAATGCATACTAGTAAGTGTAGCTCTACCCATATAATCGGCGTGGACTTTGCCTCCCTGCAAACAGGTTTCACGCATCTTGCTTTGATTTAATCCTGGTAAATTCAGGCTATATTTGTACCCTGTGGCTATGATAGGCCTGAGTCTACCATCATGACCAGCATGGACTGAGTGGCGGTGAGATACCAATGCGCCCACTTACGTATAAGGAAAATGAGACCAACCTCGAAGGACTCGGTGCTGGATTTATTCAAAGGTACGTTTTTGAAATCCTTGAACGCTTCCAGTCGTGCGTACCATTGCCTAGATCGAAATTATTTTGAAAACGTATTTTTCAACTCCGTTTAAAATTTTTTAATATGCTATCAGTTGATAAGACTGCTAAAGTAGCTATCGGACCAGTTGGATCAGGCTACTCCCATTTCACGTTGTGAATAGAGACTGGACACTTTCCCCTTCTGCTTGTCTGCAACCTCACCAGCTTGAGAAAACTGGATGCCCGAGAACCTCACTCATTGAGAGTAAAGGCTGAGAACAGGCAAATGAGGGTGGTTTTGTCGCGCCCCATTGGCTCCAGTACTGTCAGTTCCTCGATAGTCTTTTATTATGCATTCGTTCACATTTGAACTGATTCAACAATTTCCTGATGAGATTCAGTCTTAGTTGTTCAACAAATAAGGAATATCCCGTTAGGAAGGGCATTAAAAGGCAGCTAGCACGATTAGTTTAGCGTAAACCGGCAAAATGCTAGAGAACCTACATAGTGTGGGAAAATGGGCGAAAGAACGGAGTAAAAGACGCAAAATCTGGCAAGAAAATCCGCTTCGTTCTCACTGACTTTATAATAATCAATTCGCGGACGAGTATTCCGTGGGATCTGCAATATAACCGCTACCTGAAGACAGGCTGCAATGTAAGCTACAGTCATCCGGGCAGTTGATTAGGGCGGTCGTCAACGGGCCGCAGCGCGTGCCAGAAACTATTTGCTTTTCCAGGCTAATTTAGTCATTTTTTCTCCACCTTGTGAAGATAAGGAGCTGCTAATCTGGGAAAAAGTAGCCAAAACAGTGAAAAGTTGGAAAAAAATGACTAAATTAGCCTGGAAAAAGCAAATAGTTCCTGGCACGCGCTTGGTTCCTGGCTGGGCATCTTTAAGCTTCCACGCACCGTACCTGACCGCGTAATCAAGCTGCCCGATGACGAGGGTATTGTACTAACCGTGATTCTCATGCAGCGCCGCTGCCGCTTATACCATTCCCTATCCTACTGATATATAGATCCGCTATGTGTGTCTGTGCGTGTGTGTGTTTTGTGTGTGTGGTCACGAAATTCATAGCGAGGCGCGCAAGAAAAAGATAGGGGGGGGAGGGGGAAAGAGACACACATAGATGCAAGGAGCGGAGGAGGAGGAAGGGTATGACCGAAGTGATATACATGGCAGGACGGGAACACTTTTGGTGGGTGTCAGGAGGTGATAACACTTGATAAGATACGATAAGGGGCCGTAGAAGGGGAGGGTGACTGAATTCGTAGCGCAAGTTGCAGCAGGTGTGGGACCGTGATTTCAAGGAGTGATATACATGGCAGGACGGGAACACTTTTGATGGGTGACAGGAGGTGATGACACTTGATAAGATTCGATAAGGGGCCTTAGAAGGGGAGGGTGACCGAAATCGTAGCGCAATTTGCAGCAGCTGCAGGACCGTGATTTCAAGAAGTGATATACATGGCAGGACGGGAACACTTTTGGTGGAGTGTCAGGAGGTGATAACACTTGATAAGATTCGATAAGGGGCCTTAGAAGGGGGGTGACCAACATCTAGCGCAAGTTGCAGCAGCTGCGGGACCGTGATTTCAAGAAGTGATATACATGGCAGGACGGGAACACTTTTTGTGGGTGACAGGAGGTGATAACACTTGATAAGATTCGATAAGGGGCCTTAAAAGGGGAGGGTGACCGAATTCGTGGCAAGTTGCAGCAACGGCGGGACCATGATTTCAAGTACTGATATGCCGTAGGGTGGGGCTGGCAGAAGCTGATAACAGTTGATAAGATCCGATAAGGGGCCTCGGAAGAGGAGGGTCATCAAATTCGTGGCGCAGGTTACAGCAACAGTGGGAACTCAGATCCGTGAGGTGATATAGGGTGTGGGACGGGAACATTATTGGCGGGCGACAGAAAGTGATAACAGTTGATAAGATACGGTAAGCGGCCTCGGGAGGGTCATCAGATTCGTAACGCAGGTTACAGCAACAGTGGGACCTCTGATCCGAGAGGCGATACAGGGTGATATGATAGTGATACGGGACGGGAGTGTTATTGGCGGGTACGGAAGTGATAGGAGCTAAAATTGACAAGGTAGCATGGGAAAATCCGCTTCACCGCTCACAACAACAATGCGATCGATATGACTCAAGTATAACGATCTCAGTGATTCCAACAGAACTCATTCCTCACTGCTTATAGTAAACGACATGCGTGTATACGACCGCTAAGCCAGCTCTATTCCAAATGCATGTGGTTTGTTTACAGAGATGTTATGAACAGCAGCAACTGACTTTATCACTCTTACCACATTATCTTCCATCAGCAACTTCAGTGAGGGCCATTTAAAGGGTTCCACTGCTGAATGCGGTAGTGCATTCCAAAGCAAGACGCTTTAGGAAGACAGATTGCATAAATTATAGGCTGCTTCAGTGCTGTCCAACAGGCTGCACTATTTCCGTGTAGGTTATGAACGTACCAGTCGGATCGCTGGCTAAGGCCGGCTTTCCTCCTTCTGTGATGGGGGGCTGCTGCTGCTTCTGCGCCTTGACGGAACAAGCGCTGCTTTTCAGTTCTTGGCTGATGCAGAAGATTCCTTTGAACAGTGTGGTTGGTCAACGATCCTTAACTCGGCAAATCACGCGCAGCACGCGGCAAATCCGCATGGCCCGGCGAAGTCGGGCCATGTCACAGAAGGAGGAGCGCCCGCGCGAGAGCCGGGCGATCCCGATCTGTCTTCTAATTTGCTTCTAGCAAATGAATCAATACCGAGGGCCAGGACGGTCGTCGATTTCGGGCGGGTCGGGCGAGTAGGGGTTCGGGTCGGTAACTGCTGGCTGTCAGAAGGCCTTATAAAGGTACCTTTCGTTGGAACAATGCGCTACGGCAGGCCCTGCTCAACGGTGGCGGAATTGCCGTTCTGCCAGTCTTATTAATCCGTATCTCGATCTTTAAAGGATTTATCGTGGCTGATTGCCTTTAAAGGCACATTCCGCGATAAAATAAGGCTATGACCTCTCAAATGTGTCGGACGATCCGGAAGGCGATTTTTGAGGCTGCGCTACTTTCAAAATGTGAAAAACGGCAAGAACTCCGCTAGAAGCTGACTAATTAGGCCCATGGACACCCCTTAGGCCCATGCCGACCCTCACCGGCTGCTAGCTACTAGCTAGTAGCCACTATGTTATCTTTCTCTATAACATTTCGGACTGCTTTTTCTGCTGCTTTCTCCGCTAATCAGATACTTAGCACTTTTTTGTGCCTATTTGAGTTCCGTTTCCCGCAATTTGCGGTCGCGGACTGTGCCTTTAAGGCAAATGGGAACGATGGCTGGGACAGGCGGCACTGTCAACGGTCACTGTGAAAGACTGCGAGGAGGCGTTTGACTACAACACACTCACCCACCATCACTCCTTCACCAATGACCGCTGACAGTCAACCGCCCCCCCCCCCCAAGCCATGGTGCCCTTTCGTCTTTCAAAAGAGTCCTGAACAAACCGATGGAATTTACTAGTAAGAGGTGGAACTATTTCTTTGCTTTATTATGTGAACCCTTCTCAAGAATGGGGAAACCTACTAACTCCGCGTCTTGATTCGCCAAAATTCCCGTTACCTGGATTAGCACTGGCAAATCCTGCAATATCCGAAAAGATCGATCCTGCTGACCTGTTCAAAGCTGTAGCTAGGTTCGACATATCAATAGGAGTCGGATTCGGTACAGAGTGGTGCGAATGTCGCAGGTGGTAGAAATGTGCCTGAAACTGGTAAACTTTACCTTCAGTAGTGTCACAAGGGAACTTACATTCTGACACATGATTAGTTCAGAACGTAAGTGGTTACGATCATGAATCCCATGTGGCAGGCATAATAGACTGCCGCTACGCGACTGCACGCATGATTGGCTCAAATGTTGTACAAACAGCACTTACCTGTCGACATGGAACCCTGGTTTGAACGTAACCAAAGCGATGAATTCCGGTTTCGTGCATGTTCACGGAATCAACGCGACCTGGAATGAACTTCGTTAGGATTCTCAAATTCGGCCTTTCTTCAGATCTCTTACTGAGTTTATTTTCCTTTTTATGTTATTGCTAGTGTTTTTATTGTTAGTTGTAAGCAAAGGTTAGCTTGGGAGGGATAATGACAAGAAGAGAACAAGGAAGACACGATAATTCTTTGCTTGTCTGCGCCCTCATCATCATCAGAACTCTTCAAAATTATCTTACAGAGAGAGGGCGAACGGATGAACCGAAATGAGGCGCACCCTGGATCGCTAAATTGTTTTCGGCTCAGGG